CTCGCATTGTCCATGGCCAAATGTTGCTCAAATGTTCTTCAGGCCGCCTCACTCCAATCAGATGGTTCAACATTCCGCCCACCTTGAAAAGTAGTTTTCAACGAAACGCAAAATTGATTAATACCGCGTGCTTAGCTACCAAAGAGAGCTGTGTAACAAGTAATATGCTTACGTACTGATACAGAGGAATTAGATGTCTATACAATGTGGCTGATCTCATTCATATCAAAGGTATCTTAAACAATGAGTATGCATATCACTAATAATATAGCTTGTTAAATGCTGACCCAGGTACTGAATGCACATTTAAAATAGACTAAATCTTACGCAATACACATTGTCCCTTATCTCACTACAACGCCTATGAGCTATCTTGCCCCGTTTCAGGAGTCGAAAGAATCGAAGTCTCGTTTTCACTCGACTGTCTCTCCGATATTGCTTCACTGCCATTGTCTATGGGTAGAATGCACACTTTGGATACCGGACGTTTGACGACATTGTCTGACAGTCTGATCGACACCACCCGCGTAATGTCATCTTTCCCTGGATGCAGCTCAACAATGCGACCTGCACGCCACCTTAACGGTGGTAAATTGTCCTCCTTCAAAATGACCATGGTCCCAGGTCGAAGTCCGTTGTCCGTTTGCTGATTCCATTTGTAACGCTGTTGGAGCTGATGCAGATACTCCCTTTGCCAGCGCTGCCAAAAATGCTGAAACATCTGTTGAACATGTTGATATCTGTCCAGCCGGAGTCAAAGGAGTTAAATCATTGGGATCATCGGATAACGGAGATATGGGTCGGGAATTCAGACATGCCTCAACCTGTGTTAACATGGTATACAGTTCTTCAAATGTCAAATGCGTTTCACCTATGACTCGCTTCAAGTGATGCTTTGCCATTCTTACTCCACTCTCCCATAATCCTCCAAAATGAGGAGCATGAGGTGGAATTAAATGCCAACAAATACCTTCTTCGGCTAGAAATTGTGAAACCCGGTTCTGAGGCTGCTCATTTGCGAGTAACTGTGCTAACTCTTTAAGTTCATTATTGGCCCCTATGAAATTGGTGCCGTTGTCTGAATAAATATTCTTCGGTTTACCTCGCCGAGCGATAAACCTTCGCAAACAATTGAGAAAGGCGTCCGTACTCAAGTCGCTCGCGAGCTCTAAATGAATCGCCTTTGTAGAAAGGCAGATGAAAATACACATGTATGATTTAATCAGAGTCCGGTTGCGCGTTTTTTCTTTAATGAAATAAGGTCCAGCATAGTCTACTCCGCATGATTGAAATGGTCGAGGTGGTGTTATTCGCGAAGCGGGTAAATTTGCCATGATATATTCTGTCCCACTCAGATTAACGCGGAAACATTTTATGCACTTGCGTAGCAACATTTTTATGCGACTCTTGCCCGATAATGACCAGTAACGAGTTTGAAGGGAGGCAAGGACAGATTGACATCCTGCGTGCAGTAATTTACAATGTTCGTTGATAATTATTAACTCTGTAAAACGATGGTGTGCGGGCAAAATTATCGGATGTTTTTGCTGATGAGGAATTGAGGCATTAGCGAGTCTTCCGCCCACCCTGATGAGTCCGATTTCATCTAAAAACGAATGGAGAGAACACAGCTTGCTAGTCTTCCCTACGCATTTATGGTTTTTAAGTTCATCTAATTCCTTTGCGAACGATTCCCGCTGTACTAATTTCAACAAAGGGTTCATTTCACCAGTATATTCGCTTGATTCTAGGTGCCCTAGCTTTTTGTCCTGTGCTGCGACTGTCGCATTATTTTTAAACCTCAAGAGGTAGGCTACAATTCTAATTAATTTGAAAAATGACGAATATTTCTCGAAAATTGGGTGACTGATCTTCGCCGCGGTAACCAGAACTGTTGAAGCTTGTCGCTGTTCCGGGGGATCTTCATTGTCGCATATACGTGCAGCATCCAACGGCCAATTATTAGAATCTTCCTTTAACCACGTGGGTCCATACCACCACAATTCCGAAGTAAGTAGATCCTTGACCCCGATGCCACGTGATATGATATCTGCTGGATTTTCAGCAGACACGACGTGATTCCAATTCTGGTTTGTCAACTCTTGAATTTCAGCTGTTCGGTTTGCAACAAAGGTCTTCCATCGTGTACAGGATGACTTTATCCATGCCAAAGTAATCGTTGAATCACACCAATAAAATTCACCGTCCCATTTGATATTTAAGGCCGTCGAGACCTTATGACTAAGTTGTGCTAATAACAATGCTCCACATAATTCAAGTCGTGGAAGTGACACTGTCTTTAATGGAGCGACACGGGACTTTGCGCACAGCAAGCGTACAAAATGTCGTCCATGTGCATCTGTAGTCCGTACATAGATGCATGCTCCGTATGCCCTTTCGGAGGCGTCGCAAAATCCGTGCAGCTCGGTACTTATCGGTTGGTCACAAAGAATGCGTCTATGAATTGAAAGATCGTTTAGATCTTCCAATTGGCGTTGAAATTCCATCCAACTGGTATGAATGTCTTGTGGTAACGATTCGTCCCATTTGACCTGCAGCTGCCATAAGCGTTGTAGTAACAGTTTTACTTGTACGGTTGCTGGGCCAATTAGTCCAAGGGGATCGAAAATTTTGGAAATTTCGGAGAGAATTGTTCTCTTTGTAACCGGTCGTTGTAATGATAATTGCACTGAAAATCGTAACATGTCAGTGTCGGACGTCCATAAAAGTCCTAACGTCTTCGGGTCTTTGTCAGATTGTAATGGTTTCGATGATGGTGCATTCGCGTCCTGAATAAGAATGCGCGGATCATTAGCGGCCCATTTTCGGAGTTCAAATCCTGCTGAATCTAAAATACTTGTCAGCTGAGCTCTCAGTTCTCGGGCGTGCTCGACCGAATCGGTGCTTGTGAGTAAGTCGTCAACATAAAAATCCTTGAGAATTGTTCGACTGGCGTCAGGATACTGAGTTCGACAATCTTCGCCAATTTGTCTTAAGCAGCGAGTTGCTAAAAATGGAGCGGATGCGGTTCCATACGTTACGGTGTTTAAGACATATGATTTGACGGGCATGGAACAATCAGCTCTTCACAAAATTCTCTGAAAGTCGCGCTCTGCCTTGTAAACATTGATCTGTCTGTACATTTTTGTGATATCTGCAGAGATTACGAAGGTATGTTTTCGGAAGCGCAGGATAATTGAAAATAAATCGTCCTGCACTGTCGGTCCCACCCTTTGCACATCGTTCAGCGATAATCCAGATGTAGTTTTGGCAGAACCATCAAACACAACTCGCAATTTTGTTGTAGTACTGGTCTGTTTGAGTACGGCATGATGAGGTAAGTAATAATGGCGATTATTCTTCTGCATATCTTCGTCTGAAATTTCCGTCATGTGCCCTAAATCTTCATATTCCCTCATGAATACCACATACATCTGCCTTAATTGAGGATGTTTATCGAATTTCCCCTCTAATGAGCTAAACCGTTTTTTAGCCATGTCTCGCGAGTCACCTAAGTTACCGAGGTTCGATGCAAATGGTATTCTTATTGTGAAACGTCCTGTCGAATCGCGAGTGGTCGTTGCCTTGAAATGTCGCTCACATATGTCTCGTGCATCTAGATCGTCAGGATTTCGTCTAAAAGAGCCTGAGTCTAATTCCCAGAATTTTGTTAAATCCTGATGAAGTTCTTCGTTCGTGATATCGGGGTTATTATCTTGCTGTCGGGTAGCAAGATGGCATCGCGTTCGCTGCGAGAATATCGTTCGGGGAACGGTCATGAGTCCGCCAATAATCCACCCGAGCTTTGTCTTTTGTAACACAGATAGTCCAGTCCTGATTCTTATTTGTCCTATGCATAAAAGATCCCAGAACAGTCCTGCGCCGATTAGAAGATCAACTGGTCGCGAATGATCGAAGTACGGATCTGTAAGTGCGATGTTCGCCGGTATCTGTAAATCGGACGCATTTACCGATACATTTGGCATGTCCTCGGTGATTTTTGACATGACTAAGCATGTAATTGTCCTCGTGAATCCTGTACAAGTGGAATATAGCTTAACCTGAGTCCTGTAATTCATTTTATGATGTCCTTGACCAATTCCATGGACTGCTGTTTCTACTCGCGAAAGTGGTAATTCGAGTTTTTGGCAAAAGGTTTCCGTTATGAAATGCGCCTGTGACCCCGAGTCCAGTAAGGCCCGGCATTTATGTTTCCTTCCATTCGAGTCCTGAAGGAGTACTCCGGCTGTCGATAGTAAAACATCTAACGGATTTCCATCCTTAGAGTGAGCAAGCAATGATGCAGTCTGAGTCCCAGAAGATGTGGATGCTGTTGTTGCTCCACTAGATTTTACCCCGTTGTCCTTCATGTGGGTCGGTTCCAAATGCACGAGAGTATTGTGTCTCTTCGAACATTTTTTGCACGATCCAAATTTACAGGATTTATTTCTATGTCCAGCAGCGAAACAATTAAAGCAGAGTCCGCGTTCCTGTATTTTTTGTATTCGCGCGGGTACGGACAAATTAAAAAATTCCTCACAATTATATACGAAATGATTTTTCTGACAAATTGGACATGATGAGGTGCTCGTGGAGACATGCGACGTAGTATGTTTCGGTTGCCTACGGTGTGTAAACTTTGTAACTATTTTTTCTTTAGGTTTGACAGCACTGTTCTCCTGTCTGCCTACGAATGATCGCTCCAAATATTTGCACTGCCGTTCTAAAAATTGGAGCATCTCTTTTAATGACGGTTTCGCATCTATTATGATAATTTGCCTCTCCCATTCTCGATTGGTCGCTACATCGAGTTTGGTAGACAATAAGTGGATAATAAGTATGTCCCAAAATTCAGTATGTTCCCCTAGAGTTTTCAATGCAAGTAAGTGGTTGTTTACATCGTCGATTAATCGCCATGACGACACATAGGATTCCTTGGAAATTACTGTTAATTCGAACAATGATTTAATGTGATGACGTAATAATGAATTTGGATCTTCGGAACAATCCTTCAACGCCTTTCAAGCTACCTCGTAGTTTGCATCGGAAACTCCTAGTGACTGAATTACTCGCGCAGCATTTCCTGTCAACGACGAATTTAAATAGTGGAATTTCTGAATATTGGTTAACGATTCTTTGTTGTGAATTAATGACTCAAAGGTGTCCCGAAACTTTAGCCATTCGTTATACGATCCGTCAAATTTCGGCAACGTAATTGTTGGCAATTTTATTCCTAATTGCTCGTTCGTTGAGACAGGAGATGGTGCGATTGACGTTTGCACGTTATTTGCTCGAAGTGACTCGGTCGCGGAGCGGTTCCTATGCTCGTCTATGAAACTAGTTACGGCGCCAATAATTTCAAAATACGTGTCTTCAAAATCGGCGCGTTCCCTGCAATGTTCAATTTCTGCCTGAGAGCCGTCCATCGCCTTTTCAATTTCGGTTTGAACACTACAGAATTTATCGTACAATAATTCTGCCTTCGTTAAACGCGCCTGAAGTGTCGCTACATTACCAGTTCCAGGCGATGCCTCAAATGCATTCTTGAAGCGAGTCAAACTGGCCTTTATAACGCCGCGTTCTTTAATCAGATTCTTAAGACGATCTGCCTCAGAACTCATGTTCAACACAGATAAAGATGACTGACTCACGGAAGATGATCGGAATGACTGCGGGGAGACTTTTACACGTGCGAATGGTCCAAGCAGCTCCTGATGATCGTTCCTCTTCTGAAGTCCTTGGATGAAAACGGCACGTAGAGTTCGGTCGATGTGCTGCGTTCTCCTCGATACGGTGATGTGTCTTTGAAGTGCACCAAATTTTCATACACACGCGTGTCCAAAATTGCGTGGTAAAAATGTGTCCGATGAGAGAGGGTCACCAAATATTGAATTAATTCTGGTGCACCCACACTGCAGTTCAGATAATGTCAAATGTGTCACGTTCAGTTAAAAATTGTTTAGATTTCACTATCCGGCTCGAAGGACCAATGTTTGCGCCGTTTAAAAGTGAGCGCTGAGTTAAGTTCCTGGCGGGTAAATTCAGGGTCCGTTGAATTTGCACCACGCACTAATTTAAATGAAAACACAACAATAACAATTTATTGTNTCCGTATGCTCCGGTGGAGGATGTATTTGTCCCCGAACTCCTCAAGCTCCCAGTGAAGCCACAGTTGCAGGCGCCGGAGTCTCGGTTGCATCTCTACCCATTGGGCCCACATCGCATACGGGTTTTTGAATTGCACCACCCGTATTAATTCCTCCTTCACCTCCTCCACGACCATAGTCGGGATCACCCTCGCCATGCGTCCGGCCATCGTTCCTTAGACTCAATCCAAATAGATTAAATTTCAACTAGCTATTCTGTTCAACACCCCGACTCCTTATTGCTTTTATTCTATATTACTTCTAAGATTCTTACTTTGTTCGAGAACGTTTCTCGTTCTGGACTTAAATTTTTTTTTTCTCGGTGTTTGCTCCGTTGCGAACCTAATCACTTCGTGGTTATTAGCGAACTGTTAACTGGAGGTTTCAAATTCCGTTTCACCGGCCATTTCATCCCTACCTATTGTCCCGATTATTGATTTTGGAGGTTAGGGTCGCGTGAAGTACCCGGTTTATCCGTTGGATTTTGATTTAGCTTTTGGATTTGTTGCCGTGTCATCGGCCGTTGAATATCGGTTGAGGTGTCGATTTGTTGTTGGTTAGTGTCCGGAACGTTAGGGTTGCCGGTGCTTACAGCGTTTGAATTATTTGATATACTTATTGGTTCGTGATATCGTTTCAAGTTCACGCTGTGGAACATTCCTCGTTCCTTCCGAGTTTCAGGATTTATGAGAATAAACGTTGCAGGACCGACCGTCTTCTTAATTTCATACGGGCCCTCGTAAATTGATAGGAACTTAGCAATTCATTTATTCGTCGGATTTGAAACATTACACGCTTTTACCAGTAGTTTATCTCCGACTGTGAAGTTCGTACGTCTCCTCCCTGGAATCTGTGGCTACGCCTCCCTCAGAAATTGGTGCAAGAGTAGTTTCGTTTTTTCTGTCTTTCAATGTGATGATTCGTGTTCCGAAATCTATGATCCCCTGCCACCGTTCAAGGCTATCTACTCCCAGGATACAGATTTTTTATTAATTTTGGAACGACTAGGTATCCAACGTGGATCCTTCGTTCAGCTATTTGCGTTTCCGCGTAAATTTGTTTTGTGAGCATCACCGGTTTCATTCCGGTGGCCCCAATAATTTGCGTCCTCCTAACTGGTAGGGTGGGACAATTCCCTAATTTTTCTTCATTTTTTTTATAAAACTGTTCCGAGATACATGTTACCTCGCTTCCGGTGTCGATAAGGGTGTTTGCGCCGTTTAAAAGTGAGCGCTGAGTTAAGTTCCTTGGTGGGTAAATTCAGGGTCCGTTGAATTTGCACCACGCACTAATTTAAATGAAAACACAACAATAACAATTTATT